GGAAGTCAAAGTCTACAGGAACCATCTTCTCCTAAAATGTCAAAATCACCTTCTCTTCAGAGAGCACATGGTTTTCATGCAATTAGGCAGCCGGATGCCAGTTATAACTCGCACGAGTCACCAAAGAGTCAAAGCCCACCCTCAGAGCTTATGGTGGAAAATGGAATGTCCTTGATACCATCTGAAAGAGCTCCAACTATCAAAAGACAGGACAGTTTTGAGATGATGTTGCCCGAGCTTCCTAAAATAGATGTCCATTCCATTAACCGACAATCTTCAAATACTTCAGATCCAGAATCTCCTATTTCTCCATTACTCACATCTGATCCTAAAAATGAGCGTTCTCATTCTAAGACTTTCAGCCGTCCCCTTAATCAGTTTGATCATGTGTATACTAAAGAGGAGATGAAGGACCTTCAGCGCCACAAACCTCCATCCTTCTGGAGGCTTACTGAACTCAGTTTTGCTGAGTGGCTTTACGCTCTTCTAGGAAGCACTGGTGCCGCAATTTTTGGATCATTTAATCCTCTCCTTGCTTACACTATTGCATTTATAGTGGCAGCATATTACAGAATAGATGTCCGTGATATCCATAATGAAGTGAACAAGTGGTGCTTGATCATTGCATGTATGGGTATCATCACAGTGGTTGCAAACTTTTTGCAGCACTTCTATTTTGGTATAATGGGGGAGAAAATGACCGAGCGAGTTAGGAGGATGATGTTCTCAGGTAATTGGTTTTCTATAGAATAACATTTTATTGTTATATTCATATCTATTCTTTTGACAAACTCTTTTCATATGTAGCAATGTTGCGGAATGAAGTTGGATGGTTTGATGAAGAAGAGAATAGTGCTGATACATTGTCCATGCGTTTGGCTAATGATGCAACATTTGTTCGTGCTGCATTCAGCAACCGGCTTTCCATATTCATACAGGACACTTCTGCAGTTGTTGTTGCCATTCTTATAGGTATGCTGCTAGAATGGCGGGTGGCACTAGTTGCACTTGCAACTCTACCCATCCTAACAGTTTCTGCTGTTGCACAGGTCAGCTTAATATTCTATATCAACATGATTCTGTAATTTACTTTGAGATTTTATCAATTGGTTTATGCAAAATGAAGTTCTCTCCTAGAGATAGGGCTTTGATCTGTAGTTTGCAAGCTTACTGTTCTCAGCTATTTGGTCTCTTATATAAATGCTCTGAATGATGTCTTCATAATTGGAAGGTTAGACACATATCAGGGAGTCTGCTATCTTCGGAGAATTATCGCTTTTAGTGTCTTAATGATCAGTGATATTCTTAGAAGTCTATTTCCAGATAATTTGTAGATAACTGGAGTTTGTTAATATGACTTGTTTTTGCCATTGTTGTCAAGCGAGATATACATGTTAGTTGGAACTGGCATCTGTGGTGAAATTTTATTGTAGTTATATCTGTTCTCCATTATATTTTTCTTGATAATTCTAATTGTGATTTATTTGATGTCTTAGTCTACAAATCGCAGGAGTTTGATTTCTGGTCAAAGTGATGGTAGCTAGTTTTTTCATCTGTCAGAATCATTGGTTTATTGTTGATTTTATAGGGAATATTTTTTGAGTAACTCATGTTAGTAATTAATCTGCCTTTGACGTAGTCCTCCTATGCAGATGATAGCCAAGATTGTGAGCCACAAAAATGATTTAGGCACAATACCCGTGCCAAGTACTACATTTATGCAAGGCTTTCTAATTTCCATGTTGATTCTTTTAACTGAAATACATCGATCTGCAGTACTAGCACCTTTCAGTGCCTGTAACTATTGATGCAAGTAACTATGTTGCTATTGAGCTGTGCAAATCAGTATTGTTCATCAGCCCTCCCGTCATAGCATTTTGAAAGAAATTCCATTGAAAACATGGTTATTATGTGTGAAACTTTTATTTTTCTCATTATAGATCCACTATTTTAATTGTGAAAGAAACTTGAGATTTTGTATTGCATTATATTTCTTTCTTTCTTTAACCAGCAACTTTTCCTTTCAATAGTGAATTCTGGGAAGAATGATATAAATAGAAGTGCACCTTCAGTCTGTGCTATTTTTGTTTCACCCAAAAGAAGTTGCGCTGTGGTGGCATGCAATTGTTGATTCATTTTCTTGAATGCTCTTATTACTTTTGTTGCTTTAAAAGTAGATTTGCTTGTACAACTTGCGTGAATCTTTTACTGTCAGCATGCTAATTATGTGTGATTTTCCGACATAATCTTTACCACTTTTATACTACTTACAAGCCTTGCATACAGAATGTCATCAGTGGATATGTTTTGTTCATTTCATCAGATCTGTTAAGTATTTTCTTTACTTTCAGAAAATGTGGCTTGCTGGATTTTCCAGAGGAATTCAAGAGATGCACAGGAAAGCCTCGTTGGTTCTTGAAGATGCAGTTAGAAACATTTATACTGTTGTTGCATTTTGTGCTGGTAACAAGATAATGGAGCTTTACAGATTGCAGCTTAGTAGAATACTAAAACAGAGTTTCATTCATGGAATGGCAATCGGGTTTGCTTTTGGCTTCTCACAGTTCCTTCTTTTTGCCTGCAACTCTCTTCTTCTTTGGTATACTGCTTTTTCTGTGGACAAAGGTTATCTTACGATAGCCACAGCACTTAAAGAGTATATCGTTTTCTCTTTTGCAACCTTTGCTCTGGTGGAGCCATTTGGCCTTGCTCCTTATATACTAAAACGGCAGAAGTCACTTACCTCAGTATTTGAGATCATAGACCGTGTACCAAGTATCGATCCAGATGACAACACTGGCCTAAAACCGCCTAATATTTATGGGAGCATCGAGCTTAAAAATGTTGATTTCTGCTATCCAACCCGACCTGAGGTGATGGTTCTCAGCAATTTCAGTCTTAAAGTGAGTGGGGGACAAACAGTGGCAGTGGTGGGGGTGTCAGGATCTGGTAAAAGCACAATAATATCTTTAATCGAGAGATTTTATGACCCTGTTGCTGGCCAAATTTTGTTGGATGGCCGGGATTTGAAGCTTTTCAATTTGAGATGGTTGCGGGGGCACATGGGTCTGGTTCAACAGGAACCAGTTATATTTTCAACAACCATTAGAGAGAATATCATCTATGCGAGGCATAATGCAACGGAGGCTGAGATGAAAGAAGCTGCAAGGATAGCAAATGCGCACCACTTCATCAGCAGCTTGCCACATGGTTATGACACACACGTGGGCATGAGAGGAGTTGACTTGACGCCTGGACAGAAGCAGCGGATTGCCATTGCTAGGGTAGTACTAAAGAATGCACCTATATTGTTATTGGATGAGGCAAGCTCTGCAATTGAATCCGAGTCGAGTCGAGTGGTGCAGGAGGCACTTGGCACACTGATCATGGGGAACAAGACAACTATTCTTATTGCACATAGGGCAGCGATGATGAGGCATGTGGACAACATTGTCGTTCTGAATGGTGGTAGGATAGTTGAACATGGCACCCATGAGTCGTTGGTGCAGACGAACGGTTTGTATGTGAGGTTGATGCAACCTCATTTCAGCAAAGGCCTACGGCAGCATCGGCTTGTCTAGGAAAGTTTTTTTTTGTGGTACTTGTAAATTGTAGCAGAATATCGAGTTCTCTTTCGCCTGTTATTTGATCATTAGAAGGTTATTGGATGTGTGACATGTCAATAGTCAGTGGCGCCGCTACTGGGTGATATATGTTGGTAGTGACAATTTGGAGAATGGGTGGAGTGGAGAATTGATGCGCTTGTAACATGGTTGATTTCTACTGGTCGTGATAATTAACATTGTTAAAACTGGAGTGCCATTAGGATCAAAAAATGTTTTATGTTGATTAGAGGACAAATGGGCAACCGAGGCAGCATGGTTTGTGTTGTGCATCAATTCTTTTGGAGGCCTGCATCTTCACACTGGATGCTGCCTCCGTAGTGTATTATTTTCTTGTTCCAAGAGAGAGCTGTAATATTATTTTTGTGGAGGTGATGCTGTGTGTCTTCTGTAATCACTGTCTTTCTCCTAAAACTAATTTTCCACATGAACATGCAGCCTATTGATTTCTTCTTTTCCTCGTCTTCTCAAGATTTGGGAAGGACATTAGGAGCTCAGGTAATGACAGCCACTGTGACAAGTTAATTTTTTTTGCTGGGTGAACTTGACATGGTTTTATGTTTTCCCACGGTGGGTAGTCGATTATACTTTGATTAATTCATCTCCTTTTAATCCATGCTTATTTGCTTCCCTATTCTCTGTACACGTATATTCTTGTTATTTATATTAATTATGTTCTTGCAGCCCACATCTTTGACTGTGAACATGACTTGTGCAGGCCTCTGTGTATCTGCTGTTTACTGCAATCGCTGTGAATTCAAAGTATTTTCATGATCTTGAAAATCATGTCAATCATATTTGAATAAGTAGTTTTATATTTGTATTTTTTTTTCTATTTTTCGAGGTCTTTTTTTTTTATTTGAGGTTAACAAAAATGCTCCGAGAACATCTGGTCGACATTATCTTGTTCTCATTGGTTGATGTGGTGAATTTATTGTTTATCTCGTATTAATTCATATTAGCATTGTTTTTATCCTCGATGACATTAATTATATTTTAAAACGTTAAATATATTTATTTTGACTTACTATTTTATTTTATTTTGACATCCCATTTAGTGTTTTTATGTACATAGCCACGCTGTGTACGCGACGCATTGGGCCGATTCCCCCACTCGTCAGCATCAAAGAGGCGACAAGCGGCTCCGCCTAATCACCAAGTACACGTGGCTATCTCGGAACGAGTCGGAGGAGCTCGTTCTTTCGCCATCAGATGGACAACCGTTCGAGGGATTCACAGCCGTCCGATCACACCACGAATTCCCTCGCCTGTGAGGCAGTCATCAACCAATCTGGATCATCCACGTGTCCTGATTAAATATAGAAAAGGAAGAAAAGAAGCGGGAAGCAACAGAACCCACCCTTCTCTCTCCCCTGTCCTGTTTGTTGGTTCCATCCCGCTGTCGGTTCCATTCTAGGGTTTGGTTTCGGCGTTTGCTATCGCTTGCTTTGGTCTCCGGCCGAGAGCCGTTTCAGCTCCTTCTTCCGCTTCTTCAGGTATCGTTTCCTGTGATCTTTGTCCGCTGGGGATTGAGCATTTCCTTTCTTTCCCCCTTGTTTAGATCCGTTTACCTCATAGGACTGGGAGGTACTTCATCGAGGAGAAACGATCTCTATCTTTTATTCGTGTATATGAGTTTATCTGCACGAAATAATTGCTATTGTTATTGAATCCAGATATAGAAGTTCTGCTTCTTTCATATTGACAATGCCATATTTTTGTAACACGCATCACCTTTTGGACCAGAATGTGTGAAATTGTACGACTTGGATGATGAGGTAGAAAATGCACAAAAAATTTGCTAATCGATTAGCCTGTTAATTGTCTTCAATACATCTTTGGCTGCATACAATGCCTTAAGAAAGCAGTTCCCTGATGAGCCATGGTTGACTGCAAATGTCTCGAAGAACATGTTTTTATTCATGAACTGCATTCGCTCATTTTCTGCGAATATAGTGATCCAAAACATTCACTTTTTGGTGTTTCTATAAGCAAATGTTAACACAAATTTTCCAACAAATATAATTTCAATATCCAGATGATGAGCGATGACTGCATATTCATTGCATGTTCAACAGCTTGTTGTTATGGCTCCGTCTCTGGAGATACCAATCATCTATTTGGACTTGCAACTTTCATGGCCACCTCTCAATGAAAGGATTCTTTCATCCATGTGCAGAAGGTCTGTTGCAGCACATCCTTGGCATGATCTTGACATAGGTACTTGATATTCTTATAAAAGGTTTCGTATGATTATTTATTTATTTTGCCTCTCCCTGCTGCTGTCTTCTTAAATGGACTTTGGATTCCATGGATTCGACATGCAGGTCCTGAAGCTCCTATGATATTTAACTGTGTAAGGTCTCTACACTTCGTTTAATGTGACTTATTATGAAGTTTGATGCTTAGCAATGGACCTAAATGAGATGTTATCACATACATGGGGGACAGATCCGCTTGGTTTGTCATGAAAACCAAGTTCTTGTACGCTAGCTTCAAATGTTGGGTCACCCTGTTCTTGTAATCTATGAGCTTTCCGATCATCACTTGATTGGATGAAAGATATGATACTTTGAATTTGTAGTTATGTGGATAATCATGATACATTACATTTGCACTTACAATATGAACCAGAAGTAAAGACAGCAGATTTCTGCAGGTAGTAGAAATAGGAAGGGGAAGCAAAGTGAAATATGAACTTGACAAGAGAACTGGGCTGATAAAGGTATGCTTGGTATTTTACTCTGTTGCTTCCTTTCTGTTTTCTGCTGTGAATATCATATTTGTTTCTTCTGTACAAGTAGATCGTGTGCTGTGGTGTACCCTCATAATTATGGCTTCATCCCACACAACCTTTGTGAAGATAGTGATCCTATTGATGTTTTGGTTATCATGCAGTTATGTGGCACTTCAGTTCCATGGTTATAATGTTTACGAATATAGACTTCTACAGATATAAGTCATATTCTTTGACACGGGAGTGTCTAATTTATTACAATCTGATCATATGAACCTTGATTATGATATGATATTTTTTTTAGCCAACAATGATGCATCATAACCTTCAACTCAGCTCACTCAAATATGACAGCTCATCAGCATATTTCCTGCACAAAGTTAAAGTTGTTTCAATGTGTTTTTCTTCATGACAAAGGAATGCATTAAAGGAGTTGGTTAGCAGCCGTAAACACTTTTATTGAGTTCGTACATTTTTAGTTTTGTATCCTTGTTTAATTTTCTTAAGGTGGTGAGCTGTTTTTCGATTTTATTGAGTTCGTACATTTTCCATCTGAAAAAATTGTACTATCGATTTTCTTTCGAGTTATATTCTTCTTTACCCCTATTCAGCATCACGCAGGTATCATTCTTTTATTATAGATACCAAAACAAAAAAATATTTCTAATTTTTTTATACTTCAGAATCTTCACAGGTTGTTCAGACATTCGAGTAGTACCCATTAAATTGGTTATTGCTGATGCTTGTTCAACAGGAACCAGTAATTCCAGGATGTTTTATTCGAGCTAAAGCCATAGGTCTGATGCCTATGATTGATCAGGTCTGGCTTGGTTAGACAAGTTGGAGAACTGATTTTGTAAATTGAAGCATTAGTGATTCACATATTGTTATATAATGCTTCTGACGATTGCTTAACTTTGGTAAAAGCCATGTTGATGCAATTTATGATGTTGGAAACGGGGAGAAAGATGACAAGATAATTGCTGTTTGTGCGGATGACCCTGAATACAACCATTACAATGATATCAACAAGCTGCCATGTCATCGTTTAGCTGAAATCAGGAGTTTCTTTGAAGATTGTATCCTTGTATATCTACTAACACAGACTAAACATGACCAACTTTTTTGCAGTTTATTTAAATAAGCATACAAATACTGTCAATTGAATCACTGGACTTATGTTTCTAGAACACTGGTGTGTGTTGCTAAAGAGACTCGAATGCTGATGTCTCTCACAAAATTATGTGCCATTAGAGGTTTTGCTTCATCAAAGCCTGTCCTTGAACAAGATATTCAGATAAGAAAAAGGAGAACAAGTTGCTGTGAATGACATCCTGCCTGCATCTTCAGCTTATAAAGAAAGCCATACAACACTCCATGTAAGTAATTCTCATATTTCTTAGTTCTAATCTTTTAGTTCTATGAAGTCATCCCTGCCGAATGCTTGGGCAGACAGATGAAATTAAAAGGGAACTTTTCCTCATCAAATGCTCGGGCTCCGTGTGATTCTGCATGTTCTCCTATTCTTGGGTTGTTTGTCTTGTATAGATATTCTTTTAACAATATATATCTAAGTGATGTATGTGATATTTGCTTAAGACTGTTCTAATCATTTTAATTCTTTGAACTCCATTTGCAGGGACCTTTATGGCACTTGCATTGTCGAATACTTGAGGAAGTAGGAGGCATCTTGACAAATGGAGCTGAAAGTAATTGGTCATTTCCACATAGTGATTTTATATACGGCAGCTATCATTTAGTAATAGTTACATATGATACGCAAAAGTGACTGCTCATATTCTGCATCGCATGGTTGTGGTAACATTTAGTACAAAATTTTGTGGAGCTAAATAGAAATCTGAAGTGCATATATCAAATAGGCATTTCACAATTTTGGATGTGCTAGTTTTACCAGCAAATATGAACAACACATGGATGTTCTATGAACATGACTTATCATTTGGAGATTTATTATACATACCAACTTCTTCCATTGGAATCAATATTCCTAATTCAATTGTTAGAAGGATACTTGTCATATGTAATATCTCACTTTTCTTCAACATCATTACACTGTTCTAGTAATTTATATGTCATCTGGCATCATATGTTACCCTCATTAGCATCAATCTCTTTAATTTCCCATCTTCAAAGATGCATGCAATAAAAATCTAAGAATACACGATAGTCATACAAACTGAATTAATCTATCGTGATGTAAATCAAATCAACAAAACAACTATTAGAGTAGAACATTATTTTTCTTAGTGCCTGAAACTGCACGTCCAATGCTAGCCACTGCAAATTAGGGACTTTATTATCTATTTTCCTTCTCAAGTTGCAAGGCAGTATCTCCCTAATTGCAATTCATATTAACTCTTACATGCACGTCACGTTGCAAATCTAATGAATAATCTCAAAAAGCACAGACCCTCAATAGCACCATCAGCCGATAGAAGTTGATCTCATCAACCAAAGCCACAGCAACCATCACCCTATAGAATCATCAAAGAGACTCTCTTTGGTATAGAACCGTCATTAAAGATTCAATTGACAGCTACCAAAGAAAGACTAGTTTTCATGCCATAAAAAGAATATTTCAATCACTCCAAAGGAACCCTCTCGTATAACACATAATAACAAAGCCCATTAACCTTCTTCCTCCTCCAAAACTCCCAATTTCTTACAGTGGCTGTTGTCCCTTTCACGAAAAAGTCCAAGTCAAACCAAATAAAACCACACCAAATCACATATAAATCACTACTATCATTAACATTGCATGAAAACATAGGAAGAAGAAACATTTGGCTTCATCTAATTCATCTCTTTCTTCCACATACACTATTCCAGTCCTACAAAATACACAAAGAAGAGGAATTGCAGGAGATAGAAACCCCCTTTCATATCCGCTAACCCTAGTCTTTCTTCGGTGACTTGGTGGCCTTCGATGGCGACTTGGGCTCCTTGCCACCCTTGTCAGTCTTCTTCGGCAGAAGAACAGGGTTAATGTTGGGCAGAACCCCTCCGTGCGCGATGGTCACCCCAGCGAGAAGCTTCCCGAGCTCCTCGTCGTTCCTGATGGCAAGCAAGACGTGCCTCGGTATGATCCGGTTCTTCTTGTTGTCACGCGCCGCATTCCCGGCCAACTCCAAGACCTAAATATCCAAGCAAAGGGAAGATCATGAGAAGACGGAGATGCCGCGGGCGAGGTAGGCGGCGATGATGGGGGTTCGAGAAAGCACCTCGGCTGCCAGGTATTCGAGCACGGCGGCGAGGTAGACGGGAGCGCCGGCGCCGACGCGCTGGGCGTACCGGCCCTTCTTGAGGAAGCGGCCGATGCGACCGACGGGGAACTGGAGGCCGGCCTTGACGGACCGTGAGACGGGCTTCTTCTTGGGGCCACCACCCCTCCGGCCAGCGGCTCCCTTCTTCACCTTGCTCCCTCCGCCGTCCATAGCCACACCACCACTTTAGGACGCTCCTGGTTGACTTGGGAACGGAGTAAAGATGGAACGAGTTCACACGGCCCGACCGAGTCACGAACGAGTGAGTTGGCGAAAGAGATGTATTGCCGATGCGAATATATAGTGGCGAGTGGGCTCGAGGCCTCGGATAGAGAAACCCGCACCGTTGGATTGGAATCAGATCAACGGCTAGCCATGCTTCAAGTCACGATCCGTGGGAGTACAGACGGACCAGTGGGGAGCGACGCCCGCGTGCGAAGTAAAGTGTGCTTCCTCATTTTTGAGACCCAATCCAAGAAAACGACGCCCGGACGGTTCAACGTTCGAATCGTCAAATCGAACCGGCCTTTAATTTGTCACCCAATCGAGAAAAAGGCGGCCGGACGGTTCAACGTTCGAATGTCAAATCGAGCCGGCCTTTAATTTGTCCCGCCAGTAAACCGCCAAATCGAAGCGAACCACATCGTACGACATTTTGGTTTGGTTTACAATTTAACGGGTTAATCTGGTTCAGAAAATACAGAAGAAAAATTCAATGTTCCTTGGGAATTTCTCAAAACAGAGTTACATATATTTAAATTAATGGTTACTTAAATTTTTTAATTCGTATTTAAATCCTTTAGAAAATTGTATAATGCATTGAGGTGTATTTAATTATAATTTATATTAATATCCTTTAATTAATGTCAATTTAGGTGTGTTTTATTTTTAGGAGAGAATTAATATATATATATAGTCAATTAGTATATACGGATTCCTCCAAAACCTGAAAATTTGCATTGATGCAATTGTAGTTTATCTTAGTAAGATAGTTAACTTACTGTTAGTTGAAGTTTTAATTTAAATTTATAACCTTTGAGGACTATTAATGAATGATGATGTAAACGTTTAAGATGCGTTGTATGAAATGTTATGTGTGTGTGTGTTTTGGTTTTATCATTGTGGTATTTAAAGCATCTTAACTATGGTTAACCCTATTGGAAATTAAAAATTACATTAAACACATAGCTGTATTATTTTAGTTTGATTAAACATGATTTCTATAGTAAAATTATTTAAGTTCATTTAAATAATACTAAATAAAGTTTGATTACTAAATAATAGTAAAATCATTTCATTGTGGTATTTAAGTTTGATTAAACACATAGCTGGTCACCAATTTCTTCCATTCACATCTATAAATTAAATCAAATACTAAATAACTTCAAATTCTTTTAGCTGAAACAAAGAAATGGAAAATGAGTCATTTTGTTCAATATCATACATTCGAAATAAGCATGGCTATTAACTTTTTTAAAATTCTTCATGTAAACAAAAATTTAAATAATATTTTTAAAATTACAATTTTACTCCTCTGTTCCATCTTTGTGTAACTCAGCTTATTAGCCACTGTCTCCAATATTGCTCTCGTTAAAACCTAAGTAGTCCATGATAATAGTATGTGATTGAAGTCATTGAGGGGTAACCCCGCATGCCCCATTTGTTATAGCTCTTGCACAAGTGTTATACACAATCGTGAAGAGCTACATGTGACGATAAAACAACGGAGGCGACAATAGATTCAATGAAAAGAAAAAGATAAAATGATTTTTTTTTCATAGAATCAAGGAACTGTTTTAGATTTTTTTTAAATAAAAACGTTCTATTAGAAATTTTAAAAAGTAATTTTTTTTTTAGGAATTCACGCAAGTATGAAATGAGTAAATATGTCTCTAATGCATAGAAAAGTGGAAACATAATGTGTATTTTTTTAAAAAAATATTTTATTATTTTCCTTATTTTTCTATTTCCTTTGCTATATATGTTTCTTAATATAAAAAAAACGATGAAAGCTTAGTGAAATTGCTGTTTTGTTCAGAATCGGGTTGGTCATGTTGGAAGTTATATATATATATATAT